GCATAGGATGTCTGCATGTACACCTAGTGCAGGTAGACCTCAGGCAGATGTGGGGGTTCTGTCCAGACGCCTGCACAGAAGCCAGGATCACCACAGGAGGTGAGGACAGGAACAGGCTGGTGCCTGAGAGGAAGGAGGGCCGGGCAGCAGGGTACCCGAGGCCGCCCTTGCTGGCTCATGGCCCAGCCGCAGCCTGCCCGGCTCCACGCTGCTTCTGGAGCCAGGCATGAGGGTGAGCTCTCCTCAGTCATCGACTTGAGACATCAATGCTGTGGTTCCAGAATCCACTTCCTGTCAACATGTCAAGTTGGTGTTTGAATGCCTTCAGATCAGTGAGATTTGGACCCCCCGTCCCCATGCAGAAGCAAGGGTGCTTTAATGAGAGGGTGGCAGGGAGCTCTGTTGGCCTAGTGGCAAGAAGCTGCACTGCAATCCCAGAGGTATGCAGTTCGAATCCACCAAATGCTGTGCTGGGAAAAGGAGGAGTAATCTCCTGTACCAGTCAGGTCTTATTTGATGGTACACACACACACACAAAAAAAAAAATTTAAAAAGAGGGGGTGGTACCTTTTTTAACTGCGAATCACCAGGCCTTTCTTCCTATTCTCTTACCTGGAAGCTCTGCTGACATTTCTCCCACAAGAGGATGAAAAGAGGAGGGAAGGAGCTGCACAAAGAACAAGCCATTTGCTGAAGGAAAGTGGCCCTACGTACGACAGTGATGAGGGGACAGTGATGACAAGGGGACGGTGACGACGAGGGGACAGCATGTCCTGTAAGGCTGCTGGCCAAAAGCCTCTTAGAAATGCTTCCAGCCAGCACTCCACTAGGCTTCTTCTCAAAGCCCCTGGGCGTTGTCGATGGATGATGTGTTCTGAGGCTAACCGGCACGTTGGAGGGACACTCAGAACAAAGGCCTGGCGCTCTCCTGGGAAATCGGCCTCTGAAACCCCGTGAGGTGCCTCACGTTGGCATCAGCACACTGGCAACTAACGAGTTACTCTTTGGCCTGCAGCTCGAATCCCAGCTTGGGTTGATGGCTGGTATTTGCATGTTCATCCTGAATAGCTTCATTTGCTCTTGACCTGTCTTCCCCGCACTTCCTCCACGCCTTCCTCAGCTCTCATCAGTCAGGACTGCAGCCCCTCCCTGAGCCAGCCTCACCAGGTTATCTGTGCTGACTGAACCCCGTAACTTGTTCCTGGACAGCACATCTTCCCCCTGGAACCTGGTTCCTGGACGTGCTCAGTTCACGCATGTGCACAGCCTTTCCTGAGACCCTGTCTGCCGTGTGTGTGTGAACACCCCCCCTGTGGCAAGGAGAACAGCAGTGATGGAATCACACAATCTGGACAGACCAGAAGGGACTTTAGATATTGTCCCTTCAGTCTCCGACTTGAAGTTTTCTTTGACTCACTGACAGTGATTGCCCTTGACTTACCCCCTCCTCAGATAAATGCTGGGTCCGGGTCACGAAGTAGTCAGAGATCTGAGGTGATGCAGCATCTCAAATAAGTGAGACTGTCAGGCTTCCACAGGATCAGAATATTGCTGGACATCTGGGGACCCCCTTGGCACTGGTCATTGCCTGCCCTGCTCCTGCGAACCTCTGCCCGTGTTCCCAGAAGACAGTCCTTGGCTCTACCCAGGGAGAGGGTTTCAGGGTCACATCAGAGGCACTCATACTCCAGACACTCTTCTCTGTGGTCCATGGGTTGATTTACAGAAGGAGATGACCAGGCCTTTCTTCTTGGTCTTGGTCTGGAAACTGTTGAAACCGATGGAACATCAAAACCATATGCAGGCCTCTAGAGACAGATGGTAGCGATGCTCTGAGAGTTCAATAAATGCTGATGATTGAACTTTGTACAGAATTGCTTACGTTGACCCAGGGACTGTGGGTGCTCCTTCAGGAGAGACAGTCCACAGCCTCAGGACACGCCCAGGTCCCTGGGCTCTGCGGTGTGGATTCTTGTGGAAACAGCAGCCCGCGGTGCAGGGCGTGGGCAGTCACGTCCATGAACGCTGTGGCTGGTGTTGAGGGGGGAGCAGGAGGGAAGAGGCTTGTAGGGACATGGATCTTGACTTGAAAGCCAGGGGACCTGGTGCAGGTCAGGAGACTGCCTCCCCGGATGGGGTGACAGGACGAGGTGAGGCGTGGAGGGTCTCTCGCTGTCCCTCACTCTGTGTCCACACCCGCCTCTCAGGTCCAGCAGTTTGCACCCCTCTTGTCTAGAATGGGCCCAGTGCTCTGAAGGGTAACATTTCAGGGTCTGCTGAACACACTCCATTCCTTATCCGTCCCCAGGGTCTCAGCGTCTGTGTGACCAGGGTGGTGGGCTCGTGTACCCTCCACCGACACAGACCTCTGCCGAGCCCTCGCAGGTGGTCAGGTGTTCCCTCCTCGGCAGCTGTACGTCAGCTCCATGTGTGGCATGAAGAGCCTCCTGCATCACATTGTCCTCAGGACACACAGAAGACACGTGTGGGGAAGGCGTGTGTGGAGGGACTCAGCTTCCCCCGCATCCCCGGCCACGGAGAGTGGGGACACAGGCCACCGACCTGGGTGGTCAGAATGCCACAGCCCACAGGACTAGGACAGTTGCGAGCACCTTTCAGATGACCCCCAGCGCCCACACTGGTTCTTCCTAGAACATTTCTCAGTGGTTTTTAACCCATCGGTGTCTTTCACTCTTTTCTCCCTCGCCTTCTCTCCCCTCCTCCTCTGTCTCTCCCCGCCTTCTCTCCTCCATCTCTGCTCTCTCTTCCCCTTCACCCCTTTCCCTCCATCCATCCAGCTCTGTCTCCACCTCGCTCTCACCTCCACAGGTCGCGGCAGCCACCTTAGGTGGCTTTACCTCATGGTTTCACTTCCTTTACTGTGTTGACGAGGAATTGAGAGACTTCCATCAGAATGTGTTCTGCACATCAGAGAGTTTCCAATTTACACAGAGTCATTAGAAAGCTCAGGAGATTGTATCTGTTTAATTTCCAGATCCAGCCTTTCCTTTTGGATGTAAGCAGGAGAGTTCAGTGTGGGCGCAGGGCTGGGGTCCCCAGGTCAGCCTGAGTGAGTGGGCGGGTAGATGATGGATGGATCGATTGATAGATGACAGATTGATAGGAAGGTGGATGATAAACTGATAGATTACACAGATGTTATTGTTAAGTGTCTTCGAGTCAACTCTGACTCATAGTGACCCTATCTATGGACAAGAGCTCTGAAACCTGCTCTATCCTGAGCCAACCTCACTGTCTCCGACACCCCCACCCCTGTTAACCCCAGTCAATGAGTCAGACCATCTCATTGAAAGTCTTCCTCTCTTGTGCTGTCCCTCCACCTTCCCAAGCATGATGTCCCTCTCCAAAGACTGGTCCCTTTTGGAAACATGTCCAAAGTATGCCAGACAGAGCTTTAGAATACTTGCCTCCAAGGAACAGCCTGGTTTCACCCTGGCAAGGGTAAACCTGTTTGTTCTTCTAGCAGTCCATGGTATATTCTGTACTCTACCCCAGCACCACAACTCAAAGGCATTGACTCGCCTGTAATTCCTAGTCATTTATCTAGCTTTCTTTTTTTTTTTTTTAAATCTAGCTTTCTGATGCACATAATTGTGAAGACCATGACCTAGATCAGGAACACTTTAGTCTTCAGACTGACATCATTGCTCTTCAGCACCCTGGAGAGGTCCCTGACAGCAGATTTTCCCAATGCAATTAGTCTTTTGATTTCCTGGCTGCTGGTACCAAGAGTGTTGATTACAGAGCCAAGCAAACTGAAGCTGTTGACAGGTTCAATCTCTTCACCGTGTATTATGATGCTACCAGTCAGCCCAGTGGTGAGAATCTTTGTTTTCTTGATGTTGAGCCTCAATCCATATTGAAGGCTGCAGTCCTTGACTTTCTGCAGCAAGTGCTTCAGGTTCTCCTCAGTTTCGGCAAATAAGGTTGTATCATCTGCATAACACAGGTTGTTAATGAGTCATCCTCCGGTCCTGATGCCATGTTCCTCATTTGGGGGACAGCCTTCACCACCGCCACTCCTGGTCACCTGCTAGCACGAGTGACAGGAAGGGCCGTGAACTCCTGGAGCATCTTCCTTCTAAGGAGTTCAGGCTGCTTTACGATGTCCTGTGATTTATCTTCATAAGCTGCTGTAGAGACAAGGAAAGACGAGATTCATAATCACGTTTTATAGCTGATGAAATAAAAGCTGAGGGGAGTGGCGTTACTGTCATGGCTCCTGGCTCCCTCCGTGTCTGCCATAGGTCACAGACTTCATGCTGGGCAGGAAGCAGCTGCTCACCACGCCCTCATGGCACAGAGGTGAGAGTGCTCCGCTGTTGATAGAAAGGTCAGCGGTTCAAACCCACTCTGATCGGTGGGAGAAAGGGGAGGCTGGCAGTTTCTATAAAAACCCTGTGGGTCAGTTCTGTTCTGTCTGTGGGCATGTGGGGGCCCACCAGAGGGAGGAGACTGTTGTGACCCTGAGGCACAGGTATTTCTGGGGCACCCAGGTATTGAGGGGGCCTCAGGTGTGAACTGGCCACAGGTGGAGCACATGATATTACTCATCTGGGACTCAGTCCCTCCTTCTTGGGAGATGTGTCTGTGCTGGAGTCTCCGTCATGAACACAGGGCAGCACGGTGGGCATGGTCAGCCTGCCTGGACAGTAACCTAGACCGACGGCCTCTAGGCTGCCAATGGCTTGGGCAGGGCCAGCACCGCCCAGCCACACGTGGCCTCTGTGGACAAAGCAGGTCGACCTTCTGCCTTTGGCGACCAGTTGAGTCTGGAGAGGCCTGTGCTGCGCTCAAGTCCCCAGGTGCTGGCCAGGACAGGCGTCACGGGGCTGCAGAGCTGCCTGTCCCCTGACGTGACGGAGGTGTTCCTGACTTTCTGTGATCTCAGTGCCACACCGGTGGCCCCTCTCTCTGATGCCGACTCCCACGTGGCCCCTCACCCACTCACTCTCTCTGCCCCGACCCTGTCTCTCCAGGGCCCCCGAGATCATCCTCGGATTGCCGTTCTGTGAGGCGATCGACATGTGGTCCCTGGGCTGTGTCATCGCCGAGCTGTTCCTGGGCTGGCCGCTGTACCCGGGTGCCTCAGAGTACGACCAGGTGGGTGCCTGGGGCGCGGGGACGCTCAGCGGGCTCGCTCCTCGTCCATCTCTGAAGGGGGAACAGGGGGCACCGCAGTCACCGTGTCAGCTCCAAGCCCAGCACCCACACCCGTGCTGTCCGTTCAGATTCCTCCTGACATCCCTTTGCTTTTTGTTCCTCAGTAAAACTGTCCTTTTCCATTTTCTCCGAGTCCCCAGACCCTAGGTGTGGGGCAGGAGACCCCTGACCTCTTTGTCGTCTCCCTGCAGATCCGGTACATCTCACAGACGCAGGGGCTGCCAGCAGAGTATCTGTTAAGCGCAGGGACCAAGACAACCCGGTTTTTCAACCGTGACACGGACTCGCCATACCCCCTGTGGAGGCTGAAGGTAAGGCCACATCCCTGGTCCTTAGTCCCACTCGAAGGTGGCTGTAGAGGGGGAGGTTCCCCTGCTCATATGAAGAAGAGAAAGGGCTGGGAGGTTCCAGAAACTCCTCTTTCCCTTGACTGGTTGTGTGTGAGAAGGTAGAGAGTTTTAAGTTCTCAGGACGCAGTACATTGAACCTGACAGCCCGCCCACGTGTTGGGGAACATGGGGGACACCTGTCCTGCAGCGGCCTTTTCAGAGACAGCAGGGAGGAACCGAGAGGAGAGGAGAAGACAGGACAGGGAGACGGAGAGGAGGGGGACGGTCAGCACCGGAGACCCAGACGCTGAGGGCAGCAGCAGCTGTACCTGTGAGCCCCCGCGTTTCCTGAGAGCTGGGGCTCGGCTCACTGTGTGCATGGTGGTTCACCGCGGTGCCTCGTACAGTTGGGAGAAGAGGTGACACTGTCAGGTGTGTCTCTACTGAAACCACAAATCAGACCCAGCGCTGTCGAGCCGGCCCGGCTACACCCTCCCTCCTTCGGGGTACTGAGGCTGTTTTTTGGTGGGTTTTTTTTTTATGTTTTACAATTTAATTTCTAAAATACACAAGCAACACAGCAAGGTAATGGTAAACAACTGAATCGCAAAATGGGCACAGGATATGAGCAGACACTTCACCAAAGAAGACATTCAGATGGCCAACAAGCACATGAAGAAATGCTAAAAATCCCTAACTCTAAGAGAGATGTAAATCAAAACAACTATGAGATCTCATCCCAGTCTGAATAGTAAAATTCAATAGAGCAGCAAACAACAAATGCTGGCGAGGTGTGGAGAGGCTGTAAAACTTTTATCGGAGGAGATTGGTCGTCTTCCTTGAAAAGGCTGTCGATTCGAACCACTGCAGACAAGACCTTTTTGATTAGCACAGCACCCTACACACGACGCCATCAGAGCTCCTTGTGGCCAGTAAGGTGAAGGTGTTGTGTGACCACCAGCCCCAGATTTGCAAAGGAACTTGGAGCTCAGCCGACAGACAGTCGAGACTGTGGCTGGAGACTGATACAGGCATCTGTGTGGACACTGCACACAGTCAGGTCCAGGGAAGAGCCTTCTGGGGGTCAGGGCAGGGGAGGCCAGTAGGGGAGACTGCCAGGTTCACAGCCAGCCATCCTGAGCCCCAGATCCTTTGGGTACAGGTGGCTCCAGAGTCCATCCTTCAGGGAGAATAGTCACCTTGTAGCCAAACTTAGAACTCTGGTGGTACAGGGTTTAAACACTCAGCAACTAACTGAAAAGTCAAAGGTTTAAACCTACCACTCGGGACGGAGTCAAAGCAGTCCACTTCTGTAAGGACCTGGAAACCGAGGGCAGTTCTGCTCCACCCTGCAGGGTTCCTGGGTGGGGGTCTACTAGGAGTTGCAAGGGTGGGCCAATGGTGAGGTCACACATCTACAGCTGTTAGGCACAGACTGTTCAGATCCAAGGCCGATGGGGCACATGCCTCTCTGTCTCCGCCTTGGAGAGCCAGTACAGCCTGGATTCAAATCCCAGCTCTGCTGTTCCCTGGCCCTGGGATCTTGGCAAAGCTTTAAATTCTTGGTCTATTTTCCCATCTACAAAATGGGCTTAGTAATCACCCAGCAACACTCACCTGTCAGTGGCTATGATGCTGGAAGCTGTAGGGTGCACATCAGCACCCAGTAGGTGTCCTCTGACATCAGCCTTTTCCTCTCTTCTCCAGACACCAGACGACCATGAGGCAGAGACGGGGATCAAGTCCAAAGAAGCAAGGAAGTACATTTTCAATTGTCTGGACGATATGGCCCAGGTGAGATCAGAGGCAAGCACAGGAATGCCCCTCAGGTGTGGACCACAGCACACCCTCTGTGCGAGGGACAGCAGCCCGCATCCACAGGGTGCCAGGAATGCCAGCCCTCAAATAGTCAGGAATCTCCCTGTATAATGTATAGCTGACCCTCCAACTGCATAGGGTCAGGGATGCTGACCTCCTGGGCAATCAGAACCCCCCTAAATGTACAGCTGACCTTCCAACAACACAGAGTTGGGGTTCCGATCCCTGAGGCAGTCAGAATTCTCCCTCCAAATGTATATCTGACCCTCAGGAAACATTGGGGGTCAAAGGCACTCAAAAAGACTCCCTATGATATACAGTTAACCCTTGAACAGCATGGAAATCAGGACTACCCAGCCCTTTGAGAAGTCAGAAAGCCCCCTGCAATATACAGCTGACTGCCCCAGCAGTCAAGAACTCCCCTCTAATGGACAGTTGACCCCTGGGAAGTAAAAAAGTCCCCTAAAATATACAGCTGACCCACCCGCAGCAATCGAGAACTCTCCTGTAATCGCTGATTCCCCGGCAGTGAAGAACTCTGCTATAATGGAAAGCTGACCTCCTGGGAAGTCAAAACGTCCCCTAAAATAACAGCTGGACACCCCCAACCCCTGCAGTCAGGAACTCCGCTGTTATGGACAGCTGACTCTTGAACAGCTTGGGCTTGAACTCTGGATTATTTCCGCCCTGCTAGTCTATAAACTCAGGTGATGGGAATGTCCGCCGAAAACCCTGGCTTGATCGTCAGCTGTGAGCAGTCCGTCCCTCCAGTGTCACAGAGCATCCCCACGTGCCGTTCAGCCCTTCTCCCTCATGGGTCCTCAACACTCGGCCTCCGTAGCTGACCTTGTCCCTAAACTCAGAAATGCTGGCTTCAGTCAGGTCCCCATTGTTGGGGAGACTTTCAGGGCCTCACCCCAGCCCCTTTGCAATGGTGAGGGGAGTTTTGTTGCTACTCAGCCACTTTCGCCCTGTCCCCTCCTTGCACGGTCCCCACTGCTGGCCCCATCCTCTGTGGACAGTGCCTGAGACGGGCACAAACAGCTTGCTGGGAGTTGGGCTGAGGTGACTGAGAGATGGGGACAATACTGCAGGGTACACAACAGAGGAGGAGTCCTCTGCTGACCTCTTCCCCCAGGTGACCTGTTCCCACTTGCTCCCAGGTGAACATGACCACAGACCTGGAAGGCAGTGACATGCTGGTGGAGAAGGCTGACCGGCGGGAGTTCATCGACCTGCTGAAGAAAATGCTGACCATTGACGCCGACAAGAGGGTCACGCCCATCGAGACCCTGAATCACCCTTTTGTCACCATGACGCACCTGCTGGACTTCCCCCACAGTACACAGTAGGTGATGCCCAGGGTGGCGCTCCAAGACCAGACAGGAAGGACACCAGACTTGGTGCCACTCTGCTACCATAGCTGAGAGGAGACAGGGCAGGCTGCGTGCCAATAAAACTTTATTTATAAAAGCGAGTGGGGGGCCTGCATGTTTGCACCCAGACCACAGCTTACAGGCCCTGTTTTGTACACAGAAGGCCGGAGGAGGAGTGTGCAGGACAGATGGATGGGATTGGGGGTAACTGAGAAAGAAAGGGCCCAAGTGGCAGTGAACACCAAGTGAAGCCACCTTCCATGCCGCCTGTGGTCCCAGAAGCACCAGGGAGGCAGACTCGGTCGGCTTGGACTTGGGCCTGTTTGTTCCCTCAGCTTCAGGGCACAGTGGTGAGCCAGCAGGTGGGACCCAGCCTGTGAGTGCTTACAGGCTAAGGGAACATGGCTCAGTGGTAGAATCTTTGCCTTCCATGCGGGAAACTCGGGTTCTGTTCCCTGCACCTCACACACAGCCAGCAGCCATCTGTCAGTGAAGGCTGATGTGTTCTGTGAGGCTGAATAGATTTCCATGGAGCTTCCAGACGAAGACCAGGAAGAAAGGCTTGGCAATCTACTTCCAAAATTCAACCAGTAAAAAGCATGGCTCACAGTGGTCCAGTCTGCGTCTGGCACAGCGAGGGCAGCGTTTTCTCCTGCTGTGCCCGAGTTCAGCTCAAGACAGGTGAAAACCAAAAAATGGGCTCGTCTCAGGAGAAGCACACGGTGCAGTTGGGGTCAGTGGGACTGACCCAAGATAAAGCACACTTGTGGTCAGAACGCATATCCTTGTGTAACAATGCAAGACCATCATTTTATCTGTGTTTAGTTACATCTTTTTACACAGTGTGGACGATACAGTTCCTGTTGCTGCTCTTGTCACTGCCCTCCACTGCCCGGGTATTTTCATAAGCACACTCTGCTGAATTTTTTTTCCAGCAACATGTTAAAGAAATCCGCATAGCCTGCTTATGAAAACAGTCCACGGCCGGGGACACACAGTTGGCAAGCAAACACAGCACACCTTACTTGAGTAGAAATGTGGTATTACGTTATTTATAATTAAAATAGAAATCTTAAACTGAAGGGCAAATGGGATTTTATTGTTTCAATGTTTGCATCTGGAGAAAAGTAAATCAGATCTGCAGGGGGACCAGGGCCCACATCTGGGGGCAGTCGGTGGCGAGCCCGGGCCGGTGGGTGGTTGAGGGTCCCCTCATCCTCAGCGCTGGTCAGCGTTGCCATCTGACTTTGCTCTGCTAGCAAGGGTGGTGTTCTTGTTCAGAGATGCAAAGGAAGAAGGAAAAGAGCTTTTATTTCAGGTTACTAGGTAGGAATTAGTAACAGAAGGAGGAATGATGCCAAAAAGGATGTGTAAGGAGAGAGGGAGTCGCTCTTGACCTTGGTAGATGCCATCTGTGTATGTGTATAAATGTGTATCACGCAGAAGAGGTCTATACGTATGTAGAGAGGTTTGCTCTTGACCACTGTACGTGATCCTCTCTGAACTTTCTCAGGGAGTTCTGGTGGCGGCTTCCAACCAAAAGGTCACTAGTTCAAACCCAGTCGCCACTCCAAGGGAGAAAAAATGAGGCATTGGCTTCTGTAAAGGTTTGCAGCCTTGGAAACCGGGTGGGACCATCTGACTCTGTCCTGCCGGGTCACCCTGAGCTGCTCACCTCCGTGGCAGTGGGCTGGGTTGTAGTTTGATGTGGTTTGGTTTTCGTTTCATCCTGGCTTAATGGGTTAAGTGTTGGGCTGCTAACCGTAAGGTCAGCAGTTCAAATCCATCAGACGCTCTGAGGAGAAAGATGAAGCCGTCCACTCCTGTGGTCTCCGCTGAAACGATGGCTGCTGGGTGCCCCTGAGGGCACTTGGATGCTGGCCTGTCTGCCTGCTGTGAATTGGAATCAACCCGACAGTGATGGGCTTGGTTGTAAGCTTCCTCTGTAAAGGAGCCCTGGTAGCGCAGTGGTTAAGCTCTCGGCTGCTGACTGAGGGTCCGTGGCTGGAACCCACCCATCTGCTTGGCAGGAGGACGGCTTGGGAAGATCGCAGCCCGGGCAGCCAGGGGACAGCCCTGGGCTCTCGTGGAGTTGCTAGGCCTTGGATTCTGCTCTTGGCAGTGAGCTTCCTCCTCCCTGGGGAAGCAGGGCTGTCCCCTCGCGTCTCCCTCGTGTGGTGGCCCCGGGCCCGAGGAGGAGGCTTCTCGCCGAGCCCCCAGCCCTGGGAGGAGATGGTCATCATCCACGGGTGTTGATTTTGCTCCTCATGGGCTGGTGGCCGAGGCTGGGCGTGTTACGTGGTGGAGCTGACCTGAGGGGAGGAAGGGCAGCGCTCGGGCCCGGATCAGGGTGAGGTGGCCTCCCCTGACCCCTAGCGGGCTGCAGCCTGCTGATCAGAGCTTGTACTCGCTGGTTCGTGAGCAGACACCACACAGAGAGTGCTTGCAGGCAGTGGGGTTGGCATCGGCTGGGGCTGGTGGATGGAGGAGGGGTGGTGAGAACATCCAGTGAGTGTGGGGAGACCATTACTGTCCAGGGTGGGGAAGGGGTGGACAGTGGCAGTGACCCCTTGTCAACTCAGTCTGCAGACATCTAGAAAATGGGCCGTGACCTGGTGAACCCACCTGTTGCCTGCTTGTAACCGTTCCCCCACCTCTCTCCACCCTCCCCCCCTTTCTCTCCTCTCTCCTCATGCCTCTGCCTCTGCCTCTCACACACGCAGCGTCAAGTCCTGCTTCCAGAACATGGAGATCTGCAAGCGGCGGGTGAACATGTACGACACGGTGAACCAGAGCAAGACCCCCTTCATCACCCACGTGGCCCCCAGCACGTCCACCAACCTGACCATGACCTTCAACAACCAGCTGAACACTGTCCACAACCAGGTGGGTAAGGAGCCGAGGGCACAGGAAGCCAGCAGGTCACACACGGCCTGGAGCACAAGTGCCCACAGGAAGTGTCACGTGAAGCTGAGAGAAAAGCCACCTGTGTGGGCTTCATCCCAGCAGCCCCGTGGCTGGGGCTGTGATCTTTGCAGACACGGACCATCTCACCTTTGCCCTGTGGATTTGAACCACAGACCTTTTGGTTACCAGCTGAACACTTAATCTCCTGTGCTGCAGGGCTCTTTGCTTAATGCACCTGCTGGCAGTCGTAAACTCATCACAGCGACATCTAGACAGTGTTAGATTAGACCAGTGGGCACACAGCTCCAGACGTGCTTCCTAGGTGTCTCTTGTGGCCGTGGGCACCAGTTCTGTTCTTGCCCTCACCCGTCCTCTCTGCTTTCGCTGCTGACCTCCTGTTCTTTATTTGTTTATTGGTTTGTCCTCTGTTCTCCTCCAAGTCCCTTGGTTTGGTTGTGAGCTCGTGTCTCCCAGAACACCGCCTCCCTCATTTTTTATTTGTGTTTATTTTTGTTTAATTCCCATCATTCCTTCAGGCTCCCACCTCCACCAGTGCCACTATTTCCTTAGCCAATCCCGAGATCTCCATACTAAACTACCCGTCTGCACTCTGCCAGCCCTCCGCGGCGTCCATGGCTGCAGTGGCCCAGCGAGGCATGCCCTTACAGACCGGAGCGGCCCAGATCTGTGCCCGGCCTGACCCCTTCCAGCAAGCGCTCATCGTGTGTCCCCCCGGCTTCCAAGGTAAGGACACCCAGACACGTCAGGAGAGGGCTCCAGCCCCGCCTCAGAGTGGCCAGCTGAGCTGACCGCTGGGGAAAGCAGAAGCCCTGGTAACTGAGACGCACCCAGGGCTGGGAGGGTGGGCAGGGCTTGGGGGGACAGAAACACAGAAGAAGGGTTACCTCAAAAACCTCAACGCATGGCCCTCAGCTCAGGACCAACCCAAAGCTGCTCCTCCTGAGGGTTTCTGAGGCTGTAAATTACCTGGGAGGGGACTGCCTGTCATCCTCGCTCAGAGCCATGGTGGCTTCACCGTGACACAGGCACGGCCTTTGGGTTTGCGGTCCTGTTACCTGAGGCTGGTGTGTCTGAGTTCTCTGATGCTGCTGTGACCGGGACACCCCCCACTGGTGTATCTCAGGTCTCTGGTGTTGCTGTGACAGGGACAGCCCGGTTGGTACCATCCTGGTTACCCAGAAGTGCTCTAACAGAATGTCACGAGGAGGTGGCCGGAACAGACAGGACTTCATTCACATAGTTTAGGAGGCTCCGAGTCTGCCGGGTTTCAACTCCAGGAAGGAGGTCTCTCTCTGCTTCTGGTAGAGCTTCATGTCACTGGGCATCGCCTGTCCAGCCCTGCATCTGTCCTGTGTTAAGTAGCTTTTTTTATCTCAAAAGAGATTGATGCAGACTACACACTGTACCCGTCCTGCCTCGCTGACGTGACAGGGACAGCCCGTTCCCACTGGGGTGATAGGAGGGGAGGGTGGACACCAGCCGTGTGTGAGGCCCAGCATAGCACCTCCCCAGGCCCTGCGTTTCTGCTGTTTGATGCTGCTCTCAGCCCTGAGTCTCATTTGAGGGTCTGACTGTGGGTCAGTCTCCGACAGCCCGATAATCCCCTCCCTCAGGAGTGCAGGCCTCTCTCCGATGCCCCACCAAATCCACAGCCAAAAAAATACACACCTGCAAATAGCTCTTGGCTACCACCGCCCCCAGCTCAATCCCTGTTTACCCAAAAGTCTCTAGAATGTTCTAGGAGCCCGGCAAGCCTAAAATCCGTAGGTCAGGCGACGGACAGTGAGGTGGGAGTGCTGTCAGCATGTCAGATGCATCAGGAAGCCCATCACCCCGCCCCCTCCCTCGGGGCACTCCCGTTTGCTCCACAGGTCGCCCCTTGGTTGATGAAGGGCCACCATCCACATAACGGGAAGTCCTCCCCCTGACCACGTCCCTGACTTAACCATCTGTAAGTCCGCCACAACAGGAGCTAGCTAGCGTCTGGCTGAAGAACTGGCCACCACAGCCTAGCCAAGTTGAGGCCCAAAATTAGCCATCAGGAGTGTGTGTTACAAACCCCATGGTGCACATCTGTGGTCGCTCAGAAAAACGGAAAACCTCAGAATGCTTATCTGTCAAGTCAGAACCAACTCACAGTCGACCCTCTTTTGGGACTTGGAGCCTGTGAATCATGGGGACGAGACCGCCCATCTTTCTGCTGTGGAAATTCTGGTGGATTCAGACCTCCAAAGAGGCGGGGCTTGTGGGTTAGCAGGGCGGCCCCCTCCAGCTCAAAGGCGGGTAACTGCAGGTAGATTCATACACCCCGCCCCCCCTTCACTGCCCATACACCACAAGGATAGCTCGGGGGTTTGTTTATGGGTTGTTGTTTTTTGGGAGGGGGGGTGTTTTTTTGTTGTTGTTGTTAATTTTATTACTATTTTGTGTGTGTACCATCAGATCAGATCTGGCTGGTACGGGAGGAGATGGCCCCTCCTTCTCCAGCAGAGCATCTGGTGGATTCGAACCGCATACCTCTGGGATTGCAGTGCAGCTTCTTGCCACTAGGCCACCAGAGCTCCCTGGATAGCTCATTGTTCTGTCCTAACTTGGCGGACTCACTGCTCTGCTGTTGTACTTGCAGGTGTTAACTGCTCTGGTGGCCTTTGAAGACATCCACTCCGTGGTTTACCTTCATTATTACTATTATTTCAGTAGGAAACTAACAAGAACCTTGACAGAGGGCCTGCCGCGTGAGATGGCAGAGGCTCCCTCGCTCCCCCCACGTCCAGTCCCTGACCTGCGGCCTCTTGTCCTTGTGCACCGTAGGGCTGCAGGCCTCTCCCTCAAAGCACGCCGGCTACTCGGTGCGGATGGACAGTGCTGTGCCCATCGTCACGCAGGCCCCAGGAGCTCAGCCTCTTCAGATCCAGCCAGGTCTGCTCGCCCAGGTAAGGCTTCCCCTCTCACCCCTGCGGCTGCCATCAGCCACGTGAACACCGTGCAGAAGAGAGGCCTCTGTCCGCCAGCCCCTCCCCATTAACAAGCGAGGCGCTGGACGTCAAGTGTTCCAGATGGTGCCACACGAGTGACTTCCCCAGCACACGCTCACTAACACGAGAGACGGGGACCCACGGGAGAGGGGGCGACCACGGCCTGTCATGGCGGCTCCACATGAGATTCACCAGTACCCCACGACAAGGAGTCGGTTAGCAGCTCTCATATCAGGTTTCTTTTCGTTAAAACAAAAATAGTTCTTTTTAAAAAAATTACTTTTAATGAAAGTTTACAGAGACTTAGGGTTTCCAGTCATTCATTGTGGCACTTTTCTCCCTACTCACCCCCACCCCCCAGTTCACTCTTCTCCTTGAAAAGAAAAAGAAAAACTCTTTCGTTGTTACATAATCTCTCCCCCCAAATCCACTCCACTATGCAGCCTTCACTCTGGACTTCTGTAATGACTAGAATACCCATTCATATGTTCCTTTTAAATGGTTCTCTCCCTCATCTGTTTCAATGCAATATACATCATTCCTCCCCTCCTTTTCTGTCTTCCCTTAACCCTGATGTCCGTCCCATTTTATAACAGTGGCCCTAGGCAATATTTGTCCTTTTGTGACTGAGATATTTCACTCAGCATAATGTCCTCCAGGGTCACCCATTTTGTATAATATTTCATGAGTTCCTTGTTTTTCAGTGCAGCCTAGTATTCCATTGTGTGAATATACCACAGCTTCTCTATCCATTCATTTGTTGATAAGCACTTGGGTTGTTTCCAGCTCTTTGCTCTTGTGAACAGAGCAGCCAAAAAGAACCTTTGCCATTATCTCCTCAGTGTTCAGCTGGGGAACCATCTAGGGGGTCAGCGGTTCCCAGCTGTCCACACAGGTGCTAATGTGGAGTTGCTGGGTGAACTAGTCGCACCTTCCAGTGTGTCTGTCAATGTGAGGTAATAGTACTGATTGTCTCACTCTGGGTTCACTGGAGAAGCAAACCCAATGAATCCAACACACATACACAGATCAAGAGAGATTGATTCCAAGGAAATGGCTGGAATGCTGTAGGTCATGCCTTGAGAGAGAGACATCTGGGAGAGGCCAAGCATCCATGTCTTCAGCGGGCGGCTACTGGCCTTGGAAGCTGCTGGCATCTGAGGCTGGCCAGGCTGAAGGCCTTTGTTGGGGGGAGGGCCGCAGACAGCTTGGCTTTGGAGACTGCTGGTTACAGAAGCAGAATACAAACTCGCAAAGTCCAACTCCAGCCCCACTTAAAGCCTCGATGCTGGTCTG